TTTTTTTTTTTTTTGGAAATTAAGAAATGAGAAGATCCCTACATTTAGAATCTGCAAATATGCAGTATCTAAAATACTTGCTAATTGCTGAGGAATACACAAGATAGGTGTGTGTATGTGTGTGTGTAATATGTAATATACTGAGACATATATGTAATACATATACAGTATTTGCTTTACATGAAAACATATACACATGCATCCTGAATTTGATCTTTGCTTAACATTCTTTCTTAAAACATCTCTTCAAAATGTTTGTCATAAAAAGATACACTGTATTGTTTATATGCTCTGTCTTGGTTTAAAACTTTTCTTGGCTGGATTCTTTGGATTTTAGGAAAATGCTAAAAGGGTATCCAGATACACATATAAAAGTACTTACCAAGGAACATTTCAATAACAGATGCCTTCATAGTGAGAACAACAGTCCTCATAAATATCAGAATGACACCCTGGAGAGAAAGAAACAATAACATCATCATATTGCAGCCGGGGGTTCTGATTTGGATGCACAGAGCGTAGGGATGGGCTGCATCATTTTGCATTGCCCTCTGGAGTCTTAGGATTCCAGGCTACAGATTTCCATAAGCAGCACATAGAGATGGCAGTGGCTGGCCTTGCTGGTATCCAGAGATGCTATTTTCAGTTAGAAAGCCCATTCTGGCCACCAGCCTCCAATTCTTCAAGTATTTGATGTTTACTTAGAACTGAAGAGGAAGGCCGGGTGCGGTGGCTCAAGCCTGTAATCTCAGCACTTTGGGAGGCCGAGACGGGCAGATCACGAGGTCAGGAGATCGAGACCACCCTGGCTAACCCAGTGAAACCGTCTCTACTAAAAAATACAAAAAAAAAACTAGCCGGGCGAGGTAGTGAGCGGCTGTAGTCCCAGCTACTCAGGAGGCTGAGGCAGGAGAATGGTGTAAATCTGGGAGGCGGAGCTTGTAGTGAGCTGAGATCCGGCCACTGCATTCCAGCCTGGGCGACAGAGCGAGACTCCATCTCAAAAAAAAAAAAAAAAAAAAAAGAACTGAAGAGGAAATAGCTCTACGATTTTAAGAATATGTCCAAGTAGTCTTCTTTATGAGAATATGTCCAAGTAGCCACATTTATGGCATTCAGAAAACATATTTAGATTACAATTATTAATACTTCACTATTCATTCGATAAATATTTATTAAACTCCTATTATATGGCTACATTTTGTTAGAAAGTGCTAAAAATTGAATTAAAAAACAATTCTCACCCTTGAAAGACTTACAGTTTAATATAGGTGGAAAAACATAAGTGGACACAAATAACCATGTTAAATTGCATAAGAGAATGTTAAGTCCTCATAAGAGAGTGTAAGGGGAAATTTATAGAGCAGTGGTTCTCAAACTTTGCTGCATATTATTTAATAGTATCACCTGAGAGTTTAAAAAAATCCTGATGCCCAGGCTGTACCCCAGACCAATTGAATAAGACTCTCTTGGGTTGGGAGTCTAGTTAATTAAGTTTTAACAACTTCTCAAGTAATTCCAACATGCAGCCAAGTTTGAGAATTAGTGGTTTTGAGTCGGGCTTCTTGAACCTTTTTTCTTTTTTTTTGAGACGTAGTCTCTGTCACCCAGACTGGAGTGCAGTGGCACGATCTTGGCTCACTGTATCCTTCGCCTCCTGGGTTTAAGCAATTCTGTGCCTCAGCCTTCCAAGTAGCTGGGATCACAGGCACGTGCCACCACACCTGGCTATTTTTTGTATCTTTAGTAGAGACGGGGTTTCACCATCTTGGCCAGGCTGGTCTTGAACTTCTGACATCTTGATCTACCTGCCTGGGCCTCCCAAAGTGCTGGGATTACAGGCGTGAGCCCCTGAGCCCGGCCGGCTTGTGTATACTCATCACCTGGGGCTCTTGCTAAAGTGCTCTTGCTAATCCAGTAGGTACGGGTGGTGCTAGAGATTCCCCAAGGGCCAGAAAGTTTAGAAGGACAGAGATTACGGCAGCTATGGGAATAAGAGAAAGCCTCATAGAGATGGTGGCCACTGGGTCAACTTTAAAGAATGAACAGGCTTTGAACATGCAGAAACGAGAGAAGTGGCTCCAAGTGGGGGAAGAGTGCCAACAGAGACCCAGACGTTGGAGAGTGCAACAGATATGAAAATGCTGGTGATCTATAAGGGAGTTTCTCATCTTTCTCTTAAGGCTATGAGGAAACTGTCAAAGGTTTACTCGTACTACTATTAATTGAGTATATTCTGTGCATTCTGTATTGTTTTGAATCCACACAATAAGTCACCATGATAGGTCTTATGATCCTCATTGAACAGATGAGGAAACTAAGGCTTAGCGAAGTTAAATGTCATAACCGTGGTCCAAGGTGGTGAAAGGATTAGAATGGAGGTGAAAGTGGGTGGGAGGAATCTGCCCTGGGCACAGGCAATAAGGGAGAAATTTGTAGAGAATGAAAAGACTTAAAGTTGGTCTGCTTTTTATTATCCTTATGAGCTAGCAATTTTAAACAATGTCAATGGTAGTAAAACACTCCTCCCCTCTGGGCAGATGGCTTCCACTATATCCCCCCGACTCCGGTGCCATGGTTGTGTGGCCCAAAGCTGGCATTCATAACTCTACCCTCTGCTGTGTTCAGTGGTGTACTGGTTAAAAAAAAAACAGAGATAAAAGCCCTGATTTTCAGAGCTTGTCAGTTTCTGTGGTAGCAAACCCTCCTACCATGGCTGATTTTGAAGCCACCAAAGTGACATCACTGAATGGAGATCTAGAAAGAGATAAGCACAATCTAGTACTAGCTAGGCCCAATCTAAGGTTATAAACAATATTTGATACACTGCTATGCATATTTATTCATAAAAAGCAATTATTAGATTATGGGTTGAGATAGTATACAAGTACTCGATGCAATTAACTTAAAGTTGTTTAGTGTATGAAAGCTTTATTACAAGCAATTAAATTAAGCAGCAGGAGTAACCCCAAACAGAACTGATCACTTTATTAATTTGCAACAACGATTGCAATATGTTAAATTTCCCAATTAAGGTAGTTGGCCACTGGTTACGTCTTTAGCTTCAAAATAAAAACAAAATCATATGTACAATCTGTTTGGCAACTTGATGTTTAAGTAGCCAGATTATATTTTGGAAATAGTGTGATAACAGGTAATTTTTTTGTTTTTTATTAATTTGAGAAACTCCAGAACGATTTATGTATCTTCAAGCCTGAGTGTTTAACTTTCCTATTGGATAAATGCAGTATACCAGGTTGCCCTACTGGACCCACCTATACAGCCCCATTAATTGACTGTTACCACTCAACATTGCAGATTTCATTCGAGTTATCCTTGACTTCTCTTTCTCTTTCTCTTACACCCACATGCTCTCCACCCGCCAGTCCTGTTGGCGCTACATTCAAATTCTATCCAGAAACTGACCATTTCTCAGCATCTCACCATTACCAATGCCATCTGTGGCAGGCTCTGCCCTGTCCCACCTAGATTATTGCAATTAGCCTCATAACTAGGCGGTTCCCTTCTTCCTTTGTCCTCTGCAGTTCACAGAGCAGCCAGCATGATCCTATTCAAAGTGAGTCAGTCCATGGCATTTCTTGGCTTACCCTCTACAGTGGCTCCCTGTCTTACTCAGAAGAAAAGCCTAAGTCTTTACAAGTGGCTCAGGACCCTACTTGATTTGGCCTCTGTCCACCCTTCTGTTCTCATTTCACACTATTCTCCTGCTCAATTAGTAGTCTTCAGCCACACCGGCCTCTTGGCTGTTTCTGGAACACCTCTTACCTCAGGGTCTCTGCACTTGTTGTACCACCTTTTCCTCTGGCTGGATGCCATTTCCCTGGATAAGCACATGACTTGCTCCCTTATTTCTTTCAAATCTTTGCTTAAATGTTACCTCCCATGAGACATTCCCTGGTTATCCAATTTAAAATCACAATTCCCCTCCCACCTCTCCCACCACCAACCGATATACCCAATCCGTTTCCTACTGTCTTTTTCTCCATTGACTTATCACTTCTGACATACTTTATACCCTACTTATTTTATTTTTTATGGAGTTCCCCACTATAATGCAAGCTCCACAACGGCAGGGATTTTTATTTGACTTTTTGAGTGCTCAGTAAATATGTGTTGAATCAATGTGAGTAATGAGGGCTCCTCCTTTTCCCTAGGAAATTTAAAGAGGAAACAAAACAAAGGGAAGACAATCTTATGAATACATTAGAAACAACTGTATTATACACGATATGTTATTTATTTATTTATTTATTTATTTATTTATTTATATATTTATTTCTTGAGATGGAGTCTCACTCTGTAGCCCAGGCTGGAGTGCAATGGTGCATTTTCAGCTCACTGCAACCTGCACCTTCTGGGTTCAAGCAATTATCTGCCTCAACCTCCCAAGTAGCTGAGATTACAGGTGCCTGCCACCACACCTGGCTAATTTTTGTATTTTTAGTATAGATGGGATTTCACCATGTTGGCCAGGCTGGTATTGAACTTCTGACTTCGTGATCCACCCTCCTCGGCCTCCCAAAGTGTTGGGATTACAGGTGAGAGCCACTGCCCCCGGCCAAATTATACACTTTAAATGGTATATTTTATGGTATGTGAATTATATCTCAATAAAAATTAATAAAACAGTATTGATATTGATATTACTGCTAATCAACAAACAAACCCAAAGGGAAGGCGGAGAGCAGAGAGAAGTACTCTCAGATCTGTCCTACAACTTTAGAGTCATGATGGACATGACCTTTAGAAGCTGGAATGAATGAATAAAAACCAACAGGATTCCGGGAGATGCTCTAATCCCCGAGGAGATCTCACCCAAGTGTTGGCTTATCAATAATGGAAACTGACCAGAATCACTCTAGTGTCTTAGAATACTTGAAGCTTATTTCTCACCACTGCAATTTCTACACTTGCTTGGTCCGTTTACTCAAGCACTTAAAATGTAAATGTGCCTTTTGAAATGTGTGGGGAAAAAAAAAAAAATCAAACCCTCTCTCAGCCATTGCCAAGGCTGAGCATGAGGACTGCCACCAGCACCATTAAGCAGTTTCTGCAGGCAGTCCAATGTCACAGAGCTGTGGGGCACATGGTAACACTGGAGCCCTAATTCCTCACGTGCTCACCCAGGTTCTAACAAAAACTGAACAATAGGGGCTTCCAAAAGAATGTGTTACTGATTCACAAATTTATGGACGTGTCATGAGATATAACATAAAGAATCCCAAATATGTAGTTCTGGTGAGGCAAATGACGCCTGGTTGTGAAAGAAGAGTATACATTAGTATAAGTGGATTAGCACAACAAAGATCATTAGATCTCTCTTTCTGCCCAGAGTCAGAAGAGAGCAAGTTGGTAATAAATAATAATATTGCTTTATATTTATATAGTTTTTCACAGTGTTTTAAATAAAGTGACTTTGTGTGCATTTCTA